ATCAAAGCTCGTTGGCTCAACATGGGAGATATGCAAAGCATACTGTCATACTCAATCAGGATGTCTTATATTGAGATTGGTTCTTTTTTCCGCAATACTGCATTACATTATTGTAATATAGTGTATTACATAATATTACAGGTCTTCGATCGAACATGGATAGGTAAAAGGGTAAAAAGGTTTAGGGTGCAGGGGAGGTCAGAGCCGGAGATGGGCCAAGACGAGCTGAATGCGCGAGCAACGGTGGGGGTTCAAACCGTCGACATCTCTACATGAGACCTCGATATTTATTATTACTATCATTACTATCATCATTACTCGTATTATTATTATTATTACTATTATTAGGACGGCCGTGCCCTGGACACAAAGCTACATGTTGAATTTAAAACAGGCTATGGAAAAGCTAAATAAAAGCTAGCCGAGGGGTCATTGTGAAAAGCGGTCAAAGCCAGAAAGAAGCTAAACAAGAGCTAATCCAAAAGGTGAGAAAAAGCTATCCGAAAGCTACAAAAAAGCTACCCCACAGCTACCAAAAAGCTAACTGGAGTTCCGAGTGCAAGATCTAAGTACAAGATGAATAGCGGAGAATTCGAATAGCACCGCCTCGAGACGGTTGGGAAACACGGTTTGTCTGGGATGGTGTTGGACGGGGCCGTGCGGGTTGCAACTGGGTTCCTGTGTCAGTCTTCCACAACCCTGTATTTTGGGATGCCTTCTGGCTGCAGCTTTCTTGTGGCTGCTTTGCTGGACGAGATTATTGTGTTGCCTTTTTGATAGCTTTTTTTGTAGCTTTTATTTAGCTTTTTGGTAGCTTTTATCTAGCTTTTATTTAGCTTTTATTTAGCTTTTATCTAGCTTTTATTTAGCTTTTTTTAAGCTTTTCCCTAGGGAAAAGCTACATGGGCGGCGGGGCGGGGGAAAGAGCGAGAAAAGGCGGGGAAGCGAGGGGGGGAGGGAGAGAGAGAGAGAGAGAGAGAGAGAGCGTGCGTGCGCAAGTTTCGAGAAGCTTTCACTCCTTCCTAAAAAGTCCGCCGAAAGCGCGGGCGGGCTCAATGCTTGGGGAGCTTGACATGAGCTTGACACGCCCCTTGAGCCTGAGAGAAGAAGCGTGCAAGTTTGCGAGAGGTTTTTGGGTGGCTTTGGCGCAGGTTTCATCTAGCTGATCTGAGCTTTCGTTTCGATCCTGCTCTAGCTTTTCTGTAGCTTTGCCGTGGCTTTTAACAGCCTCCCTGTAACTTTGTCTGTAGCTTTTTTGTGGCTTGTCTGTGGCTTTTCTATAGCTTATTTTTAAAACAAGGGTTCCAGGCATCTCCAGGCACATGGCCGTCCTAATACTATTATTATTATTATTATTGATGAGACCTCGATATGGAACACTAAACAGCGGATCCTGGATGCTTGCTTTGTAAAGATCCCTGGAAGGGAGCCCCTGATTTTCTGAAGCCCGGATAAGCCCTGAACCCGAAGCCCACTGGGATGTTGCGAATTTCCTTGGAAGGCCCGGCTTTGCTGGAAAACGTGGCAGCTTCGGCCTCTTCACGCTGCCCGGACTTAAAGTTTTCACTGGGCCGTAAGCAGTGATATTATGGGGATTGTTGATGTTAACATATATCAACAGTATGTGTTAGTAATTTCAAGATTATGTTTGTTGCTACTATATCCTCTATGACTACTATAGCTCTTGTTACGATTATGATCATCATGATGATCACTCTGATTCTTCTTCTTATTGCTACATTGCTGAAAGAGCTTTTTGCGTGCGTTTTGGCCGGTCGCTTAGCCATGCGAGCTATGAGCTCACACTAATTCCGTGAAGCAGGTGCTTCTTTGGGGTTTAGGGTTACTCAGAGATCCCAATATCCCTAAATGAAGGAAAATACCGTAAATTGAAGGGGCCTTAGTATTAATTAAGGGGTATTGGGATCTCTGGGTACAGACGTTCACAGCAGCATGGGGCCTGCTGTCGCATTCCAGTGCATCCAAGAAGAGCAAGCGTTTGACTGGGCTGTACTACTCCATGCATGCCAGTCGCAAGTCGAGTCCAGGTGCAGTCTCGGGGGTCCGTCGGGGATTATAAGATATAATGTAATATTGTATAATAGTACATAATATACAGTATATATAATATGTAATCTTGAATATATTACTTATTGAGCATGTTCTTTCAATCCGATTCTACTTTCCACAACAGTTGACCTTTCGGCATACACAGATACTGTCTGCAGGTACACCCGGCTCTGGCCATCAAGTGTTAGTCCGAATAATGCTCCCGGACACGCAGGCAACGTAGGAATGAGCACTTTGCAGGCATACGCCCATATTCTCCCGTGGAGCCCATCAGGAATTTATATAGGGATTCCGACGAATCCCACACTCCCAAACCTGAAACCGTCGCGTCATGCTCAAAGCCCTCAACACCCTGAGCCCTGCGGACCACTAAAAGTCCAGCCCCGCAACCTTAGACCCCAAAGCCTCTGAATTCTCCACCCTTCCACGCTTGAATTTCTCCAAGATGGTACACTTAAAGCCCCATGATAGTACCCTTAAAGGGATCCCTACGGTTGATGATATAAATCCTGCATTACCCATAATAAGGAATATATGGTAATTATGGTATATTCCTTATTATGGGTCATGCAGGATTTATATCATCAACCGTATGACAGAGCCCTTAAAGGGTACCCTTAAAGGAGCCTCGGCGCTCCTCGGAGCCGTGCGCCGGACGCTGCAGAGGCCGCAGGCTCGGGATGCAGGCGATGGCCTCAGATTCCGGCCCTGCCAAGACAAACCTTAGGGGTACCTTTAAAGGGTTCCGTTAAGGGTTCCGTTAAGGGTTCCTATAAGGGTTCTATCAAGGAATTAGGGTTTTAGGGTTTAGGGTTTGCGGGGTTTCCGAAAGTTGGGGGGTACCTTGCTTTGGGGTCCTTGTAGTTAATTAGGATCCTACTATTCAGGGCACTATTCCGAAAATAGGGGACTCTTTTTTTCTCAGCAACTCGTAATTAATGTTATTGGGGGAATGGCAGCAATCAGGTACACGACGTGTGGTGTGTATGTGTACATTTGTGGGTGGGTGGAACTTTTCCGGGGGGTTGCGAGCTGGCTTTTCCTGGTTTCGCTGCGACAGCGCCAGAGGTTCAGCGTATATGAACGTGTGTAGCTGAAGCTGAAATCGTCCATTCCCACTCAGGCCTGCAAACGTCAAAAGCAGCGGGCAACTAAAGAGTTCGGACAGCTTCTGCACCAGCACTGGCCATGGTCCCCATATGTCTCCCTCGCCTCCGAGCTCCCACCTCTCTCGGAGCCTAGGGCGACATTCTGATGCCTACTTGGAGCCTCATGGGTAGTTATAAGTAGACTTGTAAGTAGGGTAATCATACTTATAAACCCATATTAGGGGGCTTATCATCCCAAAACAACAACCCAAAAAAGCCTCCAAGTAGACTCCCCGGCCCAACTTAGATCGGCTTTGCTCACTGAGGATCCGGCCTGGGCCTTCTTCCCGATGAGGGTGTCCTGATGGCTGAGCGGCCATCAGGACTCCTCTCTAAGGGCGAAAAAATGGTTAGGGTTTAGGGTTTAGGGTTCAGGGGGTTAGGGGTTCAGGGTAGGGTTAGGGTTTCAGGGGTTTTTTTTTAGGGTTTAGGAGGTTTAGGGTTCAGGGGTTTAGGGTTTTCTTTTAGGGTTTTTAGGGGTTCAGGGGTTCAGGGTTTAGGGTTTAGGGGGTCAGGGTTTCAGGGGTTTCAGGGGTTTTCAGGGGTTTAGGGGTTCAGGGTTTAGGGCAGGGTTAGGGTTAGGGTTCGTTTTTAGGGTTCAGGTTTTAGGGTTTAGGGGGGTTCAGGGTTTAGGGGTTCAGGGGTGGTTCAGGGGTTTAGGGGGGGGTTTGGGGGTTTAGGGTTTAGGGTTTAGGGTTTTAGGGGTAGGGTTCAGGGTTTTAGGGGTTTAGGGGTTTAGGGGTTAGGTTATGGGATTTAGGGTTTAGGGGTTTAGGTTCAGGGTTTTAGGGGTTCAGGGTTTAGGGGTTTAGGGTTCAGGGGTTTAGGGGTTCAGGGGTTAGGGGTTCAGGGGTTTAGGGGTTTAGGGTTTAGGGTTCAGGGTTTAGGGGTTCAGGGTTGGGGGTTTAGGGTTCAGGGTGTTTAGGGGTCGGGTTCATTTAGGGGTTTAGGGTTCAGGGTTCAGGGGTTTAGGGGTTTAGGGTTTAGGGTTCAGGGGTTTAGGGTTTTCAGGGTTTAGGGTTTAGGGTTTAGGGTTCAGGGTTTAGGGGTTTAGGGTTCAGGGGTTTAGGGTTCAGGGGTTTAGGGGTTTAGGGTTTAGGGGTTTAGGGTTCAGGGGTTCAGGGGTTCAGGGGTTAGGGGTTTAGGGTTTAGGGTGGTCTTAGACTTTTGGCCCTCGCGGATACGGGAAGCCGTCGTGAGCTTGGGGTATGGGCGTGTGCGTGTTGGGACGAAATTGCAATGTTGTTTGGGATGAGCATGATTCCAGAATATCTGCGCAAAGAGAGTGACATTAATGCCGTGAGCCGACACCTGCCGTTGAAGGATTGCCCAGCCTGGCGGACGACGACATGCACTTCAGCGAGCTGAATTGTTGATGCCGAAGTTCCCAAGTGGGCCAAGTGCGCACATACGACTTAATAACGGTCATTGTGCCCAGGAGCCATACCATGGCACAGATGGCACTTCCGAAAGATGGAGGCGCCCTGTGTGTGGCGGCCTGTCACTGGCTCTATCTCAGTGCTTGTGCGCATCAACAGCCCAATGCCGGTGCAAAAAAGGTAGACTTCGTAGTCGTGGCTGCAGCGATGCACTGACATTGGAAAGGACAGTGTATCTGGCCGGTAAATGCACAGACTGGCAGGGTACACACTCAAGAGCTGAAGAGCTTGCCGGAGCTACGTCCGTCAACCATGACGACATCTTCACTTCGATTGTAAATGCTCGAATCAAACATTCTTTGGCTTGGCAGCATTTTTCCCGGGGGACCCCACAGCCGCCACAATGCCAGGCTGGGTAATCTGAGCTTACAGTTGCACTTCGCAATTGTAGTGAGTTCTCGTCTAGTCCTCAGAGGTTTTCAGGATTGGTGTGCAAGCCCATGAAGCTGCAAAGGAAGTCCTATCCGCCACAGCTTGCATATTCTCCCTAGGCCCTAAGCAGGTCCGACGTTGCTGTTGCGAGTGCCGAACCGGGGCAGTGACCCCAAGACGAAGAGCTGCTTGGCCGCCCCTTCAGGATCTTCTTTCCCACGGCTTGTGGTGAAAGCTTTCGCAAAAACCAGAGTCACACCCTGAGGCAAGAAACTTTTGAAGCCGGTGGAGCTCAGGCGCTTGCGAAGTTGAGCCCATTTGTCGCCTACAAGTGGGAGTGCTGGTAGTGTTTCTGAAAGGCATGAGCAGGTGAAGATGCGTCTAGCAGCGATGCTAACCAGTCCTGCCATTCTAAACCCTAAACATCCTAGCACTCCGCTCTGGCGGAGGTCTCTCAACACTTCAGGCCTGAACTGTGGCATTCTTGTGTTCAGAGTTCAGAGGTTCTCATCGAATTCTCAGCTTCAAGCGATGGATCATGGTGGCAGCTTTTCGCCTAGCACCACCCACCACCCCTGACCTCGCTTGATCTGTCCCCATGCAAGAGTTATCGTTGTTACTCCCTGGTCTCCCGACCTTCCACATGGGTGGTTGTCAAAATTATGATCCCTTTTTGGGAACCCTAAATATTATATAGGTGCCCTACTATCAAGGACCCCAAAAGGTACCATAATTTTGACAGCCACCCACATGGTAGGTCTTGAAGTGGAGCTGGCTGCGTCGGCCAGAGGACCTCGAAGGGTTCCCTTCCACAGTGTTCCTTGCAGTTTTTCGAAGGCTAGATAGATGGGAGTTTCCGAAAATTAGGGGTACCTTTAAAGGGATCCTTTAAGGGTTCCTATAAGGGTTCTATAAAGGGTTTAGGGTTTGGGGTTTAGACTTTCCGAAAATACGGGGTTCCTTATGCTGGGGTGCTTGGGATAAGGATCCTACTATTTAGGGTACTATGTTCGGGTCCCCTATTTTCGGAAATCGCCCAGATAGAGAGAAGGGCGTAAGTTGGGTACTGCCCCCACTCAGTAACAGTTGGATAATATCCACAATATAGATATATCAGGCCTTGAATAGTAGCCCTATTATAGACTGTTACTGTATGGGGGCCGTAGCCAAGGCCTACTTAGAGGATCATGGGACTTAGTAAGTAGGTCGTAATTGGGGTTATAAGTCCCCTAAGTGGGGTTATCCTAGTTATAACCTACTTATAATCTTACTTACTAAGTCCCATGAGCCTTCAAGTAAGCGACTTTTTGCCTCGCAGGACTGGCTGGCTTTGCCGGGTATCACACGTCGGTGCTCATCGACGGAGAGGAGCGCTGGCAACGGGGTCTATCAGGGTTAGTAGAAGGGATCTACAAGGGTACTATAATATGTCGGCCTTAATAATCCTATAACTTACCTTGGGTTAGTAGGGAATGGAGGAATGGGGTACAATTAAAATATAACTACTATTACTACCATTCTTCCATTCCCTACTAACCAAAGGTAAGATTAGAAGAAGAAGCTTGACGACTGACTTGCCAAAGTGATGTCAATCTCATGGGTTTAGGCTTAGGGTTCAGGTATGAACTTGCTTGCTATTCTCCATGTGATGCTGTGGTAGGACCAAGTAGGACCTTGTCACAAAAGACCCTAAACAAGGAATGTAAAGAACTTCAAAGCACCATGTTAAACCCCATAACCACCCTGGAGCACCCTTCTGAACCCCAAAAAAGGCAGGCTGTAAAGTCCCTGATTAAGTCCTGAGATCAGCCTTGGTAGAATCCTTCTAAACTTCTAAACCCGTATAAATGCTGATGGCAGCCCTTTAGAAACCGGCCTAAACCCCTATGGCGCTATAAGACCCTGCGAAACCATAGATCTCTTTACGACACGCAAGCCCTGACGCAATGAAATGCTTCCTGCCCAGAAATCCCAAAACCCCCTAATTAAGGAATATGCCTTAATCGAACCATAATATTAAGGCCCCTATGGTGTAAGGTATATTGAAAGTGCATTCCTTAATTAAGGGAATTAAGGGATATTGGGATCTCTGAGTGCCAGGAGTACTACTTCAGCCCGACGGGAATCCGCTACGTCAAGAAACTCATGAGCCACCCCCGACGGTCTCAGGCGCGAGCTTCATAACGCTAAGACGAACGTTGATAGGAGCATTGCGAATACATCTGGTGACAATCATGTTAAACTCATGCAGCACGCAGGGGCGATGAGTTAGATGATACCTTGCCTATTTATCCTGGGATCTCACCCCCCCTCGCCCTAGGATAACATCTATCTTAAGATCTCAGCCCCAATAGGAATCTCAGCCCCAATAGGATGATCCCGACCCAAGTTACCATCCCAGGAATAATACTCACTTCTGTCTTGGTGCCATACACCTAAATTGGCAAGGGGGGGGGTCTTGCAGAATTTGGTTCAGGGTTTGGGTAAAGGATTCGGTATGTCTTCTGGGGTTCTGCTATCGTGCTATAACTCTAACATAACTATAGTATATACTTACTCATGTATTATAATTGCACTGTAACATTTAACTCTGTTGGGAACAGAACCTTATTTTGGATTGACGAGATGGTCATAGTTTGCTTCAATCTCCTCAATGCTTAGGCTGTTCCACTATTTTGCGTGTTCAGGTTTTTCTTTTAAAGTCGCAGTACCATTATCGCCGTCTGAGTGACAAAGAGTTTCAATGTGCTCAATCATCTTTGAGTGTTGTTTGATTCGTTCCCGATCTTCTCTAACTTTGTCTTCTAGCACTTGAATGTCTTGCCGAATGGTGTCAGAATCTTCAGCATCAAATGTATTGAAGTACACCTGACTTTCGCAACTCGGCAATTTTAAGAGTATAGTCTATTTTGCCTTTCTCAAGCTTGCATAACTTAGCCATGAATTTGGCTTGCATCCTGCAGGTGCTCAAGTTTGTGCAATCCTTGTTCCCTGCTCAAAGACATAGGTGTTGTTTCTTGAAGTCATTTCGCAGAAGCATTATACTCTTGAGATTGACTGGATCGCGATTATTTGACAGACTTAGCTAAGCATTCAGAACAAGCCAAGGTGTATTTAGCATAACTGTAAGAGTGTTTGCTAACACACATCATGTTCGTTTGAATCAACTGACACCTTTGACTTGTTTACACTATTGTACACCGATAGCACTTCCGACTAATCCTAGTATCGGGTTCACGATAAGCCTCAGAATCAACTAACATATTATTGACTTTTCTTGGCATTATACAAGTAGTTGTACATCTTTCCTTAATGAGAGATTATGAAAAGGTGCTTGCTCATCTTTTCATAATCTCAGAGAGATTATGACCACGTGGTTGCATACCCGAAAGATTTAAGGAAGCTAAAGACGAAATAATGTCAGTTCGACACTCCCATGGCGTGCTTATGAATCTGTTCCTCACACGGGAGCAACCGGACTTTCTAGATGTCTGGGCAGAGGAACTATACACTGTCAATATTAACTAGATATAGAATTAATCCATCATATTTAAGTTGTTGTTCAAAATAGTCACATCTTTGTCTATCCTTTCAACATCTGTCTCCAATTTCTCTATTCGCTGTCACATTCGTCTGGTGTAACCTTTTTCTGACCCACCCCCGTGTCACCGATTTCAACCGTTCCTGTTTTTGAACTGAGATCTTCAGATTTATTATCCTTGGTTGGGGGCTGGGTGGTGCCAATCCCCAGTAGGCAAGGTATGTTCTAACTCGATACTGTTAGGGATCGCAGGTTACTTGTCGTCGCACATGCCAGGACGAGATGTTCCACTGCAGCCTTGGATACTCATTCTGATCCAGGCAACATCTATAAACCTTACAAAGAAAAGCCTCCAAAACCTTAAAGCAATATTCGAGTTCCTTCTGCTTCGTGACTCCCTGGAGGCCACGCGCACACATATCGGGTTCAGCAAGGCCGGGGCAGGAGATGTTTAGGGTTCAGGGTTCAGAAATGTAGGGTCATAGGATTTGGGGTTCTGGGGGTTTAGGGGCAAGGGAAACTCGGCAGTCCATACTGTACTTCCTTCCCAGTTCCTCCTCGTTTATTGTCTTCGGGAGGTTTACCCCTGCGTCCTTGTAAAATGGATTTGCAGGGGGTTTACCAGGCTGCCATACTCCTATTGCTGTCTGGGGCAGAGTGGTGCAGTCGGATCCAACCACTCCGGGTGCTCAGTCATCCGTGCTTGGTGGGAGACACCTCAACTCCACACAGGCCTGTGGAAATAAGTCCAGCCCGAAATCTCGTTTCACCGGCATCTTCTTGCATGCGCTGTCGGTTCAGTGTCTGCATATGGGCTTTAGTTACTGAAGCAGCCAAGCTTGAAGTCAAGCTGGCTTTAGTATGAAGACTCCTCTAATAAAGACAGCCTGGTCATAAGCCCAGCAATCAGGATGCCCGCGAAAGTCTTGAGTTTCAGTTTAAACCCATGCTTGACAAATCGCACTTCCCCTCCTGGCAGCAAGTCGATTTTCCTGGAATGTCGCAGCGTTCCAGTCACGTCTTCTTAGTAAACCCAGTCTGTGGCTGTTACTCGACTCCATATCCGGTTGGATGCCAGTAATAAGTTTAGCCCTCTTTTTTCGCGAGCTTATGCTTCCCGTGTCCGCACCAGGATCTCACGAAGAAACATTTGCAGACAGAGCTTGGGATAGCTTGGGTTCGGTAGCTTGCAGCACTTGCTTGCCAGGCGACGGGACAGCAGATGCTCGACTTTCTGAACGAACACTTCCTTGCTGGCAGCCCCTTGCAGTACGTTGGGCGTCAGGTCGAAGTTCGTTTGGAGGTTCCGCTTCGAGCCGGAAGAGACCTTCCCTCAAATCTGGTTACGACAAGACCAGAGGCTGCCAAAGGAACGAAACAACCGTCGTACAGTGGATCTTGCCTATGGTCTTCATTGTAGTTCCTTTTTTGGTTTAGCCAATTATAGATGAAGGATCCTAAATGGTAACCCCAAAAAGGACCTACAATGGAGACTACAGGTGATAATTACGAAGAAGAATCACAGTAACACGGTGGTCAAGCCGCTGACTCTACTGTCGCCACACGAGCCAGAACGGAACTCGCCGTAACAGCATCAGCACATACTACGTGCAATGCATGTAGCTCGACAGTGTTTCAGAGGTTGTTCTTGAGGCTTTCAGCTCACTAATGCCTTGAAACAGAAGCCCACAAAGGGCCAAAATATTACCAATGCTGCCAATACCTGTTTTTTTGGGGTTCCTTAGTATAGCGTGGTATAATGGACCCCCAAACCCTATTCTAATTATGAAGACCTTCTGCCTTTGCGTGAACGCGTGGAGTCCGAGTCGGACGCAGCGAGTTGCATCTAGTTGAAATTCACCCAAAAGCGATGTTCACCGCGAGGGATGGGTGGAGTAGCCCATATTGGCTTTTCAAAGGGCTCCCCAGCCAGCCAGGAAAAGGGTGGCGAGTTCGTAACCCACATTCAGCATCCATTCTGTACATGGTGCGACATGCGGCGGCTGCGGCCCAGCATAAGGTTGCAGCGTAAGTCACCCGTGCCGAGCAAAATGACAGCTAGCGATGCCTTTGGAAATGATGTCAGCTCTCAGCTCCTCATCGTCAAGATCGGACCAATGAATGTCAGTAGTACAACGGTCTACAAGTTTTGTCACAGCCGTCGCACTCCCCAGCGACATTGCACGTCACACCGTCCAAGTTGCAGTGCAATCACCTGGGATCGGTGCGCGTGGTATCGCGGCACATCCAACGCATAGAAGGAATCGTCAAGTGCAGTCTGCAGAAGGGCAAGCTTTTCACCATTGGCCCAGATTGTCTTACCACTCCAGATCCACCATGGGAAAGTATCGCGAAGCAGAGACAGCTGTCCCAGGCAATCCTGTATGAGTCCGAAGGACCAACCGACCAACCGCCTATGTCACCACAACCTGGCCCAACCACAAGCGCCAGGAGGAAATCCAGGTGCAAGGGAGGTTGAGCGTCACAAGGTATCGCACCACCCCAAGCATTCGGCGGGGCTTGAAGATGAATAGCCCCACAGGGAGTCGCGGGCGCACGAGCCCACATGTGGACTATTCTAATTATCAAGACCCCTACATTAGGGTTCCATGGTTTCGGCCTCGTTGCTGTGGATGCCGCTTGAGAGCTTCTCAGGCTACGACTTCCTCAGGAAGAACTGCCGCATTGCTTGCATGGAGCTTTAGGGTTTTAGGGTTTAGTGTTTTAGGGTTTAGGGTTTTGGGTGGGCGGCACTTGAAGAGGAGGCTTCCTCCTCTAGCTTCGAGGCCTTCCATGCCAATGCGCCAGGCCAGGCATTGCAATTGCAAGAGTCATTGCAGATCATTACCTTTCTCTCCCTAAACCTTTTGGAGGGTCCCAAGAAATTCTGTATTCGGGTTCATAATGGAGAACCTGCAATAAAGTAGGTTAGGGTCCAGGGTCATGTTTTTCTCATCTTCCGGTCGCTCGGCGTTCTGAGTTTTCTGAGATCAGCTGCTTCTGGTTCGGGTGCCTTGTTTTCGGCTCCCATAACTCTAGCCGTGCTGCCCAGAGTGGCACCGAGAGACTGGGACCGAAGTGTGGCTGAGGCAACAGCTTCACAGACGCAGCTTTGTACTTCCTCTGCGACAGGGCAGCCCTTAGTCGCTGCATGGACACTGGAGGTTTCGTTTCGTTGTGAACATACCGATATACGTGCATCATGGAGGAGCATGTCCTTGTTCCCACAAGGTGAGGCACGCCTAGACTTCAAGTACCGGGCCATGGAGACTATTGGCTGGATGGCCGAGAGTTCCTCGACCGGAGGGCTGTGCTGCAAAGATATTCAGCAGGTTTCACACTAAAATGAACATTGTACATGAGTTGTCGCTCCATAGATTACATCGTGTTGCGTGTAGAGAATGCCCACATACAGACTCATATACACCTGTAGTATCTGTCTTTGTGACCGTCTACCCATCGTTCCACCTATGCATCTTTCTTTCTCGTTTCGTGCATGTATACATAAGTATATCTACACATGTGTATCTGTACATGTTGATGCGTACACACACACACTATATTTATATATATATATATATATATACACACACACACACATATTTGCATACACACTTACATGATTACATACAAATGTGTGTGTGTGTGTGTGGGTGGCCTGTGTTTCTGTATATGTCTGTATGCATGCATGCACGTATGCATGTGTGTAATTATGCAGGTGGCCTTGAAGCATGTATGCATGCATGCATGTATGTGAGTATGTATGTGTGTAGTATGTATGCATGTCTGCATGTACCTGTGTATGCACGTATGCATGCACGCATGTCTGGTGCATGTATGTGTCTATGTATTTATGCATGTATGCATGTAGGTATGCATGCATGTACGTATGCATTTGTGTGTATGTATATATATATATATATAGGCATATATATATATACATGGATGTATCTATGGATGTATGCATGCATGTATGTACGTGTATGTATACGTATATGTATGTGTCTGTATGTAAATATCATGTATTTTGCATGTATGCGTATGCAAGTATGTATGTGTGTGTAAGTATGTCTGTATATGTATGTTTATGCACGTACATGTCTGTATTCGAGTTTGAATCTACATGCATGTCTGTGTATGTAGGTGGATGCAACTCAGTTTGTATATGTATGTGTATGCGCATGTGTCTGTATGTGTCTGTATGTATGCATGCATATTTACTGACTTGCTTGTTTCGGTGCGCTTTTGGACTTGTTCATGTTTTCGTAGACATGCAACGAGTCACGTACATATTATATGGGCGTGCATGTTACGAAGTATCATAGTCGCAACATGCTAGCACATTCTCTCACAGCACGATCATGTACATACATCTGTTTGCAAATGCAAACGTACGTGCTCGTGCATGCTATTTCTGGATATGCATATGTGTATGTATGAATATGTACAGTAAACCCACATAGTTGGAACTTGGTTTAAGGATGATGAGCGGTAGGATTCATTGTACGCTAGCTTTAAGGGCACGAGGAAATTAATGTTCCACCTTTCTGGCTCCGACTACATGTGCATATGGTTCTATATGTGTATGAGCGTATATGTATGTGCAGATGTTTGTTCTTATCGTATGCACATTTCGGTATTAGGATGCAACTTTGGCGATGCGAAAGGTCGGACCGGCATCTTGAACTCCATCAGCAGCGGAGAGCTTTCTGACTGCAGATGTGTCGCAACCTGGAACCCTGAGTAATTTCTGTGAGTCGCACCAGCAGCCAGCTGTTGATTATGCTTCGGATTGGAGGTCAGGAAGCAGGCTACAGTACAGGCCTGCCGTGGATAGATGTCAGGTATCGACAAAATCGATCAGCTGATGACTTCGACCTCGAGGCCTGCATTACCCCAAGCCCCCGTGATGTGGGTTTAGGGCCTGCTTTTAGTCTTTGCTGCGGACCAGACGTCCACGGTGCACCCTTGGGGGATGACCCCCTGCATGTCTGGGCTCTTGTTAAGGGATGTAATTCAAGCTACCGTAATAGGGATCTATAGTCTTCAGTAGGGTTTCTTTGTTATGGTAACTTAAATGTAACCCCTGAAAAAGAACCCAGATGTCCAGTCTGTAAAGGATGTCTTGGAGCAGATCGACGATGAGCGGACGGAGCAGGAAGTCGAAGATGAGCCGACGGCGGGGCATTTTTACTCGAACCTCATGGGCTGAACAGGAAAGGGCTGCAGGAGCTTCATACGTACTTTCTGTTTCTTCCCTTGCAGTCGATTGTTCTTAACAAAGTTTGCTTCGTTTGCGAGTCATAACATGCGTCTTTGCAGCAGAGACCTTTCAGTTTTGCTTGGCTGGACAGGTATCATGTGCCGCATCCGTGCGACTTGGCAACCTTTCCGCTCTTCCCAGCGTGACGTCCTAAAGTTAGACGTTGACTGTGTGAATACCCGGCACTGAGGCCATTCTTCGCACCTGCTCGGCGTCCTTCGCTGCACCGGTAACTTCCTTGCTTGCAAGCCCAAAGACAGGCAAGCATGCCACGTGGCGGTGCGCTCCTCCAGCATAGGCCAGCATGCAGTCTCGGGTCTGGAGTGCAGTCATTCTGGCAGTGTCTAGTAGCTGCCGTAGCGAGGGCTGACATGCCGGGTTCAGATCACTGCAGACGTGGCACCCTTTAGGCCATTGAACTCTGCAGCCCTCTGCCCAAACCTGTACGAAGCTCTGGCTGCTTCTGGTGGCGGTGATAGTGAAACACAGACAAGACACATGGACAAGACACGTGTACGTATAGCAAAGAGTGAATGTAGTTGCGTCATCTTCGACAGACGCGGGGAAAACCTCGGCCTTGCAATGTGGGAGCACGGGCAGGGCGCAGGTTGCAGAAGAAGGAAGAGACAGACAGAGAGAGGGAGAGAGCGCCTATTTCGCACTGGGCTATCTGACGGACTTCTGCATGTACAGTAGCGCGTGCACGCAGGGTGCAAAGCAGGCAAAGCAGAGAGCCACAGAGAGGTTGGGAGGGACACCCTCAAACATTATCCCGACGCTTGAGCCGTCGGCTTTACTCAAGTCTTGGTGACTGTTGTACCAGTCTCAGCTACTACTGTACCGCGATGACGCGCAGCACCGAATAAACGACAATAAGAACACCTACAACATTCCGGTCCTGAACTTGAGGTTTCATATTCATGAAGTCGTGTCATGTAATCTCGGAGACGGGAGGGACAGCTTAAGACGCTCATTCCATCAAACCATGAAGACTGGTGGCTGGTGGACTGCCCGCTGCAGACTTGCACGTGCTACCTTTGCTGACAGCTGTTGCTGGACAGGCAACGGTATCAGTTCTGTTTTCCCAGGTTTGGATGGTGGCCTCACGACATACTTAGCAGACTTAACACCTTCACCACGACACAAGGCTGCGAAGGCGACAGACCAGCTTCAGGGTTCGAGCCACCGCCAGATCGTTCGAAGCAAGTCTTCGAACTCGCCAGCTTTGCCCCGGCGACGGCCTGAGGATTGCAAGCCCTATCGGCCCCAGGCCCTAGGCTTGCGACTCTTTTGGGATAGCGGGCTCTCGGGACCAGGGATCGGGACCCATTTGACAGCCGACCCTGGCTTCCTGTAATTAGGACGAGCCGGGATTCAAGTGCAGGCCTCACTGCTTGGAGGCCCAGGGGACTTAGTAAGTAGGAAAAAGTAGGGTTACAAGAGCCCTTGATGGAGTTACCCCAACTGTAACCAGCCTTATAACCGACCTACTAAGTCCCCTGAGCCTCCAAGTGGGCTTCTCTTGGAGATCCCAGCCCACGTCCTCTTCGATTATGGTCGGCCATGCGCCCATCGTGTCGCAAAGGTGGCGTGCCACACCGGCTGCACCACGGACTCTGACTCATGTAGGGGCCTAAATATGTGCTAGTCTGGGGTTCCTTATTGGAAGTATATTTAGTAGCATCTAGCCCAAAGCCAGTAATACGGCCGCTATACTGTATTAATGAATTAACATAGTATATGCCAGACCCCCAGTCCTAATTGTAAAGGCCCCTTATTAGGAATACTATAGACGCAAAGAGGCCAGCGCCTTCTCGATGCTTTGTGGCCACTTCGCCGCCCCCTTTTTTTACCAATACCAGCTGCCCGGATCACCGGCACAGCCCCAGGGACGGCAGCACAGAAAGACTGGGTCCTAGGTCGGCTCGACTAGTTCAGACTACGGGGCCCCTTATCGTGTTAGGTTCCAGTATATAAGTATACAGTATATAATTCCAAAATGCTTCTAATCCATGCCCCCCCATATGAGATGATGACTTTAAGGGGTTGCTATGGCGGATTAGCTGTGCGATCCCGTCCCAAAGAAAGAGAACAGAGGTTCCACTCTCATACTCTGAGCAGAGGCGATTGCTCCCAGCAAGCCTGAGCGGCACTGCCATGCGAGCACTGCTGCAATAAACAGTCGTCTAAATGTTTAGGTCATGCAGGGGCCTTTTGAAGATACAACTTGATGCCATCGGATGCTGTTCTTGCCAGGATTTTGGCACAAGAAGACAACGTAACAGTAAAGCATCCTTTGCAACACTCCCCTGTATTCTTACCTCCTCTGCGTGTGCGGTTTCGACTTGAGGCCGTTCATCCCCTTACCACCAGACTTTATTCCGTCAACTTTGAATGGCCCTTGCGTGATGCTTTCCTCGTCTCGCGAGTGTTGCGGCCGGAGGCTGTCTATCGTCTGAATTCATCATGTTTCCTGGATTTCACTTCACGCTCCAAGAGTGTGTAGGTGTGCAGTTGACTCCTTTCCGTGATGCTGGGACAGGAGACTCTGGGGAAAGGAGCCAACTTGGCGGTGCGAGCTCGAGAATCGTCCTGACACGAATTAACTACAGGGACCCCTGAGACCCTAAATCGAATTCTGATTCGAAGATAAGCATCGGAAATCGGAAGTCAGGTCGGCTGTTCACTGGCTTGAGAGGCTCTGCTCCTAGTGTACAAATAGGCGGAGTGCGCTGGATCCCAAGGACCTTGTCATTGTTACGGCTGATGATACAAATCCTGCATTACCCATAATGAGGAATATACCATTATTGCCATAGTTTTGAGGTCCTTAGGGTAATGAAGGATTGATATCATCAACAGTACCTCGATTTCAGGGAAGTCCCGTGTTTCTTGGGTTCCGAGCAACACCGACAACAGGGTTCTGGTAGGCATGTCCAACAAGGACAGTGGGAGGTACGGTTGATGATATAAATCCTGCATTACTTTAAGGATCCTATACTATGGGAATTATGGTATATTCCTTATTATGATGGGTAATGCAGATTTATATCATCAACCGTATGAGCCCTGTTGACTTCC